ATGCTGATACAAGTTGCTGTTACTACGGAGTATGCTGATACTACAGATTACAAATGGATGCTCAGTTTTAAACTGCTCAGTTTTGAAATTATGAAATTCGAATTCTAAAAAAATCAGGCAAAGCAATGGTTGAAATGGGTTCAGTTCCTGAATAAATCCTGGCGCGGCCCTCAGCCATTCTCCGTGCCAGAATTGTTTCAGAAGTCATTTTTAACTGTTTTTATTTCACTGACGGTTGAAATAACGGTATTTACCTGTAAAAATGAGCTAAATTTTTCTACTAGCATTTGCACGGGAATTGCCAATAACTTGCCAGTACGGGACTTGCCATGAATAGCTCTATAAATTACAATCAGTTTCGTACTGTACAGTACAGTAAATAATGACAGTAACACTTTCTTCGATTACAGTATGGTACTGTAATCAACCAGTTGCTGGATTTTAGCATGCAATCACGGGCGGTTGAATACTAAAGCAATACTAAAATTGCGCACTAAGAAACACTAGTTATTGTTTGTCCTATGTCTCGCATCTCATTGGATTACAACCTGAAATTTTTGATTACTGTATTCTGAAATTGTATTCAGCACCATCCCTATGGCAGCGCCCAATTTTTACCATGATAATGCTAGTAGTCGGGCTGGACCTGAATACAACTCCGAAAGCAAAAATTCAGGAGAGTACACAACGTGGAGTACTTTCTTCAGGTCTCCAACAGTACTCTAACTATATTTTTGTTTTCAACTGAATTGAATTTTTAGTATTTTCAGTACGTTTAGTCACTCACTACTAAACTGTGTACCACTCCACTTTTCTTTTGCAACAACCGTGTTTTTCTCCTCTACAAAGACAAAGAAGTCTTCATCATTAAGAACCCTCTTACATACAAATGTACCTAATTTCTACACAAGATAATGGCGTGATCCAATGAAAACGTAGCAATAAAATAGTACAGAAAAAATAGGACCAGCATGGTTACAAGCTCATAATTCATAGGACCATGGTGGTTACAACTAGAAGAAGCAGCAGTGAGAACAACAAACAAGAAAGACCCACACTGCTGGGTCACTGTTTGTCAAAGAACACCGGCACTAGGCCACAACAAACTACACGGCAGCAGGAGCGTCAGAAGAACAACAAGAATGATGCAGGTGCGTGGCCAGAGTACACCCACTTGTTCAAACCTAGTTTGTCCACACAAGAAAGCAGTATTGTGAAAAAGGAACTGTTTGCTGCAAGAAACAGAGTGGGGAGGGATGTAACCTTCTGTGTTGACAGTACACCAATCGAAGTTGACATGATGCCTAATGAACCTGAAGCGACCGCTGATGAATCTCCACAAGCAAAAGAGCAAATCACTTTGCCATACGCCGGTGCAGGGAAAAGAGTCCCAAGGAGAATTACAATGGATGGTGTGGAAGGTGCTGTTAAAGACACCCCCCTGCTATGATTAGGAAGAAAACAGATCCTCCCCCTCCACCGCAATCTACTGTTGTCCGCAATCCGTATGCAAAGTGTTTTACCACCAATAAGAAAACCAGACCACCGCCATCAGCGATACCAGCCCAATTACCTCCTAACCCCAATCCTCCTACTAGTACGACAACAAAGGATCATCCTCCTTTACGGGACACTAGCAATAAGGAAGAAAATACAGTGAACACCAATACAAAAAAAAAGAAACGCAACAAGACAGGTCACCGGAAGCACCAAAGAAGTCTTCTTCCTCCTTAATAGAGTATGCAAAGACAATCCGTGACAATGCAAACACATTCAACTCACTCTGAAGTGATGAATATCAGGAGGCGGAAGCTAGGACAAAGAAGTATACAAAGACCATTAGGGGAACTCATGAAAAATTTGTTCAGATTGTTGCTGATGCAACCAACCCAGAGACAAATGATCCAGGTGATAAGATTATGTATGAAATGTTCACTACGAAAGTAGTAATGACGGATGGAATGACCGAGGATTATCTTTTCTATAAACATGTATCAGGGAAAACTTATGCAGTGAGCAAGGAAATAATGGATAGAGCCCTGGAAATTTGGGCAAAGCACATTAGGAACACAAAGACCGGTGGTCCTCTGGATACAAGCACTATGACAGTAAGGATCCGACAGCTTTTCGTTGCTCTTCACAAGAGAGATGTTCGCTTTAAAGAAGGTGATTTCAAAGGAAAAGGGGGCTTCCAGGCCTTTATTAAGCATGATTACAATGCTAAACGAGAAGCTGATCCCTTAATTGGTACAAAGAGAACCAAGGCTTAATTTGATGAGTTTGTGGATGAAAAGTTTAGAAAGGTGTTAACAGATGGAATTTACAAGCCATACAAACATGTGCAGGACTTGCTAAAGTTACTAGCAATGGAGCTTGGAAGGCAGTTTKGAATAAGAGGGGGGACAGAGCTTGCTGATCTCTTGTGGCCACACGTGAGGATGGGTACCTTCAGACATGGAAGCATGCAAGGTCTCAAGTATGCAATTATAGCTCCAGGAGGGGGCTTTGATAAGTCACACCAGTTATCTCTTGYTAATCCAACTRTAAYRAAACAGTACCCCTGTGTTGTGGAAGACCCTGAGAACCCTAACTGTGTCGTAAAGCTCATCTTCTTCTATCAAGCAAAGTGTGATCCAAAGCAAGATCGTTTCCTTTGTCACCCTAACTTGAAGAGGAAGAAGAGCAATCCATACTTCTTCAAAGGAAATGCACCGGTTGGGAAAGGATCCATAAGACAGTGGGTTAAAGAGTTTGCTGAGGTTGCTGATTTCAAGGATTGGGAGAAGTATACACCACATGATAATTGCCACCGTTGCTGCACTATCCTTGCTTCCGACCTTGCTGTTCCTGAGAAGATGAGGATGACTCATCTCAGACATAAGAGTAATAAGTCTGCTGAGCCATATATCCATCAAAATTCAGTTATTCAACAGGCTGTCCAAGGTGTTCTTCAAGGTGGGCCACATGGAATCAAAAAAGGTCCAGTAGCAGTTCAATCACCAGTAGTGGCTTTGAATCGACCTCCTACTATTCCATATGACACCAGTAACAGAAGAATAGTAGTGGAAGAACAAAGAAGCAAGGATGCGTCTGCAGCAGGAGCAGTAACACTAACCAATAGCATTCTTAGGAAATTCCTTTGTGATGCAAGAAAGGAAGCTGAAAAAAGAAAGATCAAATCCAAACAGTTTGAGCAGGCAGCAAAGAAGATTCGTTGCCAGCTGGAGGATTCCCAAAAGACCATCAATTACMTAAGCAAAAAGTTTTCAATTCTTACTGATGATTTGCAACAGAGCAAGCTATCTGAAAAAATCCAGGAGGCAAAAGAAGAGTACAACCAAAAGGAGCTTGCTTGGGAGAAAAGCAAAAGAGCCCAGCTTGAAAATGAACTGAAGATGTCTCAGCGATTGAAAGAGATTGAAGAGGCCCGACTTGGCAGCACAGGCAATCACTGTTGTATTATGTGAGGAAAACGGCTGCGATTTCTTGTCTATTTTTTGACAACCAAGCAGTATTTTTGTAATCAATGTAGTAATGAAAAACAGACTTACACTATCATCAGTAATACTTGCTAGTATTGACGCAATCCTTGGTAACGTTTTACCTTGTGCGTTGCTTGTTCTTGTTCTTGTTCTTGTTCTTGTTCTTGTTNCTTGTTCTTGTTCTTGTTCTTGTTCTTGTTCTTGTTGCCAGCAGTGGTGATTACATGCTAAAAAATCCAGCCAACTGGTCGGTTACGTAAATAATCAGCCACCTGCTGGCTGCGTACGACAGCAATCAGCACTGAGACTGAGTCCAACACCAAGGTCTCAAGCTCTGCTCTTGACCTTGTTGTTGGACTCAGTCTCAGTGCTGATTGCTGAAGTAATCTAACTTCAGCCTCGGCCTCAAGCTTTGCTCTTGTCCTCGGCCTCAGTTAGATTACTTGGTGTAATCCGTATGTATTCTGATCCGTACTCTGAAAAACCTTCCTTAAGGAGAAAATTATTTGCAGTCTCACACGTTCAGAGTACAGATCAGAATACATAGTACGGATTACACATAYGCAGCCAGCAGGTGGCCAATTATATTACGATTCCCATGGAAACCTATCCAGCTTGGCTGGATCAAAGTCCCAATCATCCTGTAGCCGAGCCTGCCCCCTCTGCCAGTAGACCTTCCCTTTCTTCTGCTTGGATGCTTTTAGTATAACGCCCTGTTCCTCTTCTTCCATTGCCTTCTTTACTGCTCTGGAAACAGTCTCAAGCTCAGCTACAGCGGCAGCTGTCCTTCTGCTATCCCTTTTTTGCTGATCTCTCCCCTTCCTGATCTCCATCCCTGTAAAGAATTTGGCAAGCAATGTAGCTGAATAGGCCAGGCTCCAGTGTTTCCTGATCTTGTGCTGAGTGTTTCCTGTCATGATTACATCATGATACACCCTCTGCATCTCATGGGACGACAATGCGTCCCCCCAGGAAAGACAGCTTTAATAAGATTTTGGTTTAGCTTATCTCTACTAATTCTAACCAGCAAAGCTCTCTTGTCTGTCAGTGAAAGATTCTTCATCTTTGCCAGTGCAGCCTGCGCTGTCTTGAACAAAGGATGGGATGCTGCTGCTGGTAGTGTTGGTGGAGCAGGTGGTGGTGGTGGGGGCGCAACTGGAGGAGCAGGGGGAGGAGGAGCAGGATCAGGAGCAGGGACAACAACTTCCCCCTCCTGATCCAAATCAGAATCATCTGAGGAGAGTAGTGCATCAGCATGGCCTCCTAGAGATCTATTCAGCTGTAGGAGACCATCCCCGGCTTCTCTCTCCTGTGTATTCATTGTATGAGGGGGGGAAAGAGCTGTTTGCTGCCGACGTCAGTGAAAAAAGAAGCAGTTGTCGTGAAAAAGAAGCTACACTTAACACGCAATAAAATCTGTTCCCGCGTAGTACACGTACGCGTAGTAACTTTGATTTTCCGAACCCTACAGGTAGAACCCCCTACAGTAATCAACGAAAGTTCAATTATTATTCTACGCGAAGCACTTGTGATTTCACAAAAAGAACTTACTTTCGTTCCTCGTACGCGTACTAACTTTGATTTTCCGAACCCTACAGGTAGGGTTACAGTACTTTAAGTAGAAAAAAAAGAACCGATCCAATGCAATACCGAACCAAGTCAGCTAAGTTAAGCGCTATTTTGGCATATGCCTCAAACACTCCAAAAGCTAAATGAACAAAGCTGATCACATTTTTATTTGGGAACATTATATGTTACTTCCTCCGTCCAGAAATGATTGTCCCCTAACAGACTTGCTACTGAAATAAGCTCAATACTTGGGCGTTTCAATTCCTTCTTTTTGCACTTAATAGATCCATTATAAAAGTATACAGTCATGAAGATTCAATATAGTCAAAGTGTCTGACGTACTTGTGATAGTTGTTTAAARAGACCAAATTTTGGCATATGATTTTCATTCTACCGGTTGAAAGGGTTCTACYGGTCATTTAACTACGGGACTGGTGGCTATAGAAAGCTGAGAGTGAGAGCTTTCTTATCATATGCTTATCGTACTTATTGAGAAGGTTCTTATGCAGTCATTGTTGGTCAAAAGAGAACCCAAATATTGCTCGGGCACTTGTTCGGGCGCATGCAGTTTTCATGTGGTTTTTTGAATTTTGCGCTGGAGAGAGGAATCGAAGAGAAAAAAAAGTGCTTCGCGCATGGTTAAAAATGCTCCCCGTGTTATTTTCACGTGATAATTTTCACTCTTGATTCACTCATACTTCATAGAGGTAATGACGTATTTTTCTTTTGAAATGACGTTTGCATCACATTGTTTCTTATGGCACGTAATGTTTGCTTGGGCCTTTCGCTGACACTTCACAAAGCTTGATAAGAATCTCCTCCCAGCATCCTACCGAGAGACGGGATCCACCGATTATTTCGTACAAAACAAAGTGCAATGCCAAGATCCTGTGTTATTACCGTTTTGAAAAAAGAGCAAAAACAATCTTTTGCTATCTTCTCATTCTTTTGATAGAAAGGTCTTCAAATCATTGAACCGTTTTTACACCGTACGTATCATGAAAGTTCTTTGCTTTCCATCCTTTTTCTTCGTTTTCCATGCTGCTATTGCTCCGGTGGCATTTTGTGTCAACTCCGAAGATCGTTCTGCATTGTCTTTGGGGAAGGAAGAAGTCCCCGTGTCATCTCCTTGGATTGACTTGTCTCAACTCAACTCCAACCCTCCTCAAGATAATGGGCAAGAAGGTTCTGTGCAAGGAAGAAAGGCCCCTAAGAAATCAAAATCAAAAAGCAGCAAGAAGGGGTCAAAATCCCCAACTGATTCGCCCATGTCCTCCCCGACTAGTCCCCCCGTGTCTTCCCCTATAGATTTAGCATGCGTCGATGTATTTACGGGCAACCGCACTTACATTCCAAGTTGCGCGGGTGCAGTCAACGAGATTATAGTTCAATGCAACAGTGAAGGGAACTGCAACTATAACCAATACGTCATTGAGTTTGATAGCGACGGAAATGTGATACTGGACAATGACACTTGCCTATTGCTTGCAGAATTTTCTTACAACAAAGTCATGGTCAAGTCGTCTCAATGCGAACTGCAACTTGAACCAATCCAACTCAGTCACGTTGGAACATGCAACTTTCCTAACAAAGGACTCAATTATGGCGCACCAAATATGTTAAAAGCCAACATCCGTCCTGATGGGACCATGGACCTATTTTACAGTAAAGATGACGGGGAAACCTTTTTTGATGACGTTCGAGTTGCTACTATGAAAAATGAAGAAGGAATTCGCAAAGTAGACCCCGCCATATTTCGATCCGCAGCTCAGTGCGAAACATTGAACCCAGCTCCCTATCAAATTGATGAATTATCATCAGGGTATGGACCCTGTAGAAACGTGAGTTAAACTATTTTGAGATGAGAACAATGTTTCAAATAATTACTTTGACCCAACTGACACCTTTCCTCCTCTTTATGGTTACAAACAACGAAGGATGCTGATTGCAAACAAGTGAATACGGACACTTGGTGTTCACTCGATACTGGTGACAATTTTCCCACTGCATACTATTGCTATGATTGTTTGAATAATAATCATTGCATCGGAGGTCAAACTTGTGAGACCAACAGAAACAGTCGTTCATGTGTCAACCCCGACATTAACCAAGTGAGAGGCATTGCAGGGATTACAACGGGGTACGATGTTTTCGACGCTGATCCTCTATTCACTGCTTATGCTTCTGGGCTAGCGGACCAGGCAGAGGATGCTGGTGCCGTCAATAGGCGTAGATTTTTTGAGCTTGAGTGGTCGTCAGATCCAAAATACAAAGTCGATCTACCATCAAATAAAACGTATTATGAGCCCATTGGATTCGAAGTCACTGCCGAGCTTGTAATGACAAGCCAAACATCAGTCAAAGCATTCGCCTCACTTGATCAATTCTCTGAGGAACAGAATAAGGCACTCGGTCTTGGAGCGTCGGGGACCATCAAAGGTGTCCAACTTGGAGGTTCGGTTGGCATTAAGTCAAAGAAAAGAATTGCCGAAGACGCACATAAGAACCTGGTGACCGTAACTGCAAAATCTGCAAAACAAATATACAGATTCCAAATCGCATCAAACAAAAAACTCAAATTGACGCTCAGCGCTGAAGCAGACTTGAAGAAAGCAAGTAGTAGTAAGGATTGGAATGACTTTTTCCGCATGTATGGTACCCACTTGACCCTAGGAGGCAAGGTGGGTGCATGGCAGAGGCAAATTTACTCATTCGATGAAAATCAAAGATCTCAACTTACAACTACTGAGAGAACATTCTCACAATCTGTAAATATTGGTATTCCAGGCATTTTTGGGTTCGACCAAGACAGTGAAAGCAGTGAAAGCAAAGAAATCGGAAAAAAAATTCAACAATTGCAGGTGAAACAGAAAACTTATTCGAAGGGTAACGTCGACAACGTTTACGATGAGGCAGCTATCATCCAAAGGCGGTTGGAACCAATTTGTGACCACGTTGGTGAGGTGGAGGGGGTGACTAAAGACGAATGCCAGGAGGCGTTGATTGAGTATTGTGTCGAAAGAATCAAAGATACCGGTCAAATCACAACTACGAAATGCGAACTTTCAGGAGATGAATTTAACTTTACTTGCTTGTACGATAATCAATGCCCGAGACAAGAAACATGCAACAGAGGCATCTGTACGCCTCGATGCAAGGAAGATAGCGACTGCGGTAAATTTGAAGAATGCATTGATGTGGATAACGTACCGTCCAAAGAATGTCACCCTATGAAAGGCGAAAGCCAACTGCACAAACACCAATGTTCATATGAAAATAATGACACTCTGTGGGTTGGTTGTCAATATAAAAATGTACATTGTCCATCGGGTTATCAAGAAGTTGAAAGAAAAGGTTTTCCTACCTGCTTCTGGGTGCCCATGAAAAAAGTCAAATGTGTGAGAAGAGGGCACCATAAACCACCATGCGCTAGACCTCTGAAAGGAAGTTGCGGTCAAGGAAACACAGGTAATGGATGTTGTGCAAATGGCCAAAACTGCTCTATTTGGGGTCATTGCGGGACAGACCCACAAGTTTTTTGGCCCAGCAAACAGCAATGCGAGGAAATGGGCGCAAGAGCGTAGTATTGGCGCAAACACTACGAACAGGAGAGGACAGGCTCTAATTGAACCAGATCAGAACCGGACCGAGATCGAGAGCATTCGATATCACTCAGTATTGTAAATAGTGCTTGGAATCCTCCTATCAATAAAGAGGGATTTCCAAGTAGTAATAATTCTATTTAAAGCGAACATCAAGCAACATTCCAAGCTAGTACCAGGCACCATAGCTGGGACGCTGTTACACAGTACAGTGAGTCGTCAAATCCTGGAACCATGTCGATTTCAATTTTTTGGAAAAAAATTAGATTCCCAGGTCCCCCTCTGGGTACCGAAAATTGTGATCAGTTTTGATCACAAAAAAATGTGATCAGAAATAACAAATTTGTGATCAGTTTTTTGTGATCAATCTTGATCACAAATTCGAACTGTCTTGTGTATATTTTGTACTAGTCCCGTTTTTATATAAGAATTAAATAACCTTATATAAATAATAAAAGTATTTTTACACGTTTGTACTACTACTAATAGTAGTATATCAGTCCTGTATACGCGACGTGCGACCATTCATGACTGTATATGTATAAATATAAATATTTATATATATAATTGTATCATATATATCATATATAACTATTAATGTAAGAATAAAGTAAATACTAATTCTAATCCGTTGGAAAAAGTGTGATCAAAACTGATCACAAAAAATTGTGATCAAGAAATTCATCAATTTTGTGATCATTTCTGATCACATTTTTTTGTGATCAAAACCGATCACATAATGGAAAAAAGGGGACCGGAGAATTTAAATTTTTCGAAAAACATCGAAATCGACATGGTTCCTGAACAAACATKGGAAATGGAACCGACTCGAATTTTGTCACTGACCACTACGTACTCGTACAACTACGAGTTTCATAACAATTTCTTGCCCAGCGCGCAAGTCCTCGCAAGCTAAGACTTAAAGCGTTAAAACATAGTCATCATCTTTGAATCAAAGTTGTCAACTTACAGCGCAAGTTGCCAACTATGCTAGGTAGGCCTACGTATAATTAGTACTAGCCCCACATCGTGTCACGCCGGCAGGTCAGCAGCTGCTGATCCAGCTGCTCAGTGAGGAGCAAAATTGATCTATTTGGATGGATCCTAGTACAACGCTGTGTAGAAAATCCTGTAGAAAATCATGGATCAAGGTGTTTTGGTCAAAATAGAAGGGTTTTGATTCAGCATTCAAAATTGTACCGAGGCCCACTGTCGTGACCTTTACTTGCCTCCAGCACGCTGATCCAGTACGCTTTAGAACTGTTCTTTTCATTCATTCATTCTAAAAAAACTAACCGGTTCAAAGCAACTGACCATGGGAATTGCTCCATTTCAAGCACTTCCACTCACTCTTTCTTACTGTACTTGATATCAATTGATAGCTCTCTTTGATTGTTGATTGAACAAGCCCTTAACTGTAGCAAACAAGCAAGTGTTACCTATTTTATTGAGTGTTCAGTGTAGCTTCTTTTTTACGGCAACTGCTTCTTTTTCGACCGACGTCGACACTATCATGAGCAACGATCCAGCAGACAAGGTAGCAAAGATCCGAGCCAGAGCTGGTCTTTCTAGACTAACACAACAAACAAGAGCTGAGCTGCCTCGTCCTGGAAAGGGGGGGAGTAGAGGCTATCCTGTCTTTGTAAGAGAGCTGGAACTGCAAAGGAAGGAAGATGGTCTTCCTCCTGTTTTTGCAAGTAGATGGTCTATTTCAAGATGGAGTAGACGCCTTGATCCATACAGAATGACAGGCAACAGTGACCAGGGCAAGTTGGTTGGACCAGATCAGATGCTTCTTGCTATTGGTTTGACTATCAATCCTTCTGCTAATGCAGATGAGTACGCCACATTCATTTATAATCAGGGGGGGAGGATCTATTCAAGAGTAGATATCTCCAGGCGCTTGGATGGAATGAAGATCACTAGGAAGAGGGCGTCGACTGAAGCCTACCAAGCCTTCACCTTTAGGAATAGAAGGAGATGTAAGTAGTTTTGGAATCTTCCTCCCCCCCTTGGTGTGGTGGGGATTCCCAGAAGGAAGTTTATAGATGTGGATGAGTTTGCTTTCAACCTGCAAAGAACCAACTGCAGGTGTAGATGGGCTTTCATTTGCCAAAGAGTTAGGAAGATAGGACACTATGAGAGGACTGACAAGCTCACTGTTCTCTTTGCTGTGGAGCCAGGGGATCCTTGGCTTCCTCCTGAGACCAGGGGAAGTATCCAGAACCCAAGGAGGTGGATTGAGGTGATCAGAGCTGGAGGGACCTCAGCGTGGACCTTTGCTCAGTTTATTGAGGCGATTTGTAGTGATATTGAGCAATGCCCAGCCCCTGGGGACACAGATGCTGAAAGAGTATTCCTCTGGGACAATCTAGGAGCTCATCTAACCAATGTAGTAGCTCAAACAGTTGAGGTGAGACCAGCTGGTGGAGGGACTGTCTTTAGCTCTGTTTCGAGGCCTCCTTACCAAACCAAGTATGGTCCCATTGAGTACAAGATCTGTGATCTGATTGGGGCTGTAAGCAAGATGACAACGCCTCGATGGACAACTGCGGATCTGGAGCATGCCATTAGAACTGAGGCCCTTAGGTCACTCGCTCCATTTGATTTAACCTTTGACCACTGTGGATATACTGTAGATGGGGTCTATGAACCTAGACAATATTAGAAAACAAGAGCAACAACAACAGTACCACAATGGTCTCCGACAAGCAAGCTGGATCTGCAGGGTAGCTGCAATGGACTGGAGCAATCCACTGGAGCATGGCTTGCTGGCGTGGCGACTCATCCTGGGCCTATGGAAACTAAATCCTACTGGAGACACTTGGATTCCAGTCCMCTGGAGCAGCTTCCAGCTCCTTCCTCCTTGGATACTAAATCGATTTGCGGATTGACTACATGGACTGAATACAGTTACAGTCGGTTGAATTGATTCAGCTACAGTTGAGATATACATAAGAGGAAGGATGGATCCAACCCATGGTCCTTCCATTCTACAGCAGTACTATTTGTATACAGTTCATCTTTAGTAAGAATAATATCTACCAAGAGTAGTTGCAATAGACTTGAGCAATACGCCAGGGACTGCCTCGCTGGTCCATTGAGTTGGCCTGGGCCTACAGTTTTAGAATATACTGTAGCGCGTCTGCAATCTAGTTGTTTTACAAACTAATATGGTCTCTATACTATTACAATAGTAGTACTAGTTCTTCAACAAGGAGATACTACCTGGCTTTCTGTCAACAGCAATCACAGGGATTACAACAGCACAGGCAAGCTGCTCTGTTTGTACAAAAGAGACAGCAAGAGGGCATCCTAATGGTGGAGAAACAGGAGGAAAAGAACCACCATTAGAGGGTTGATGCACTCAGCAAATCGATGCTTTCAGTATTCAGCATCCATAGGAAAGACTACACGAGCCAGCGACAATCAATCAATCACTGCTGTCTCCATAATCAAATCCAGCTGAGCTCTGGCTGCTAGGCAAGCCACCAGGACTGCTCGCCTTCTTGCTTGGAACAGCTGCCTTCTTTGCGGCAGCAGCAACAACAGGCTTCTTTCTGCTCAAAACAGGACGCTTGGTAACTTGCTTGAGGCCCGAGCTGCGGCCTAGTACTGCTGGGTGCTTTGAGCCAGTGCTTGCTGCTACTGCAAGCAAATTCAAGCCACCAGTGTTTGAAGCAGTAGGACAAGCTTTCTCCCCCTGCTTTACAAACAGCTGGTGCTTAGCAAACTTCGCCAAGGAACCAGTTGCCTGCTCAACATTAGGGCAAATGTTCACCATGTCCTGTGCTCTCTTCTTCAGTGCCATTGCTTCAGTACTAGTGTCCCCAGCAGTAAGCTTCATAGACAGTAGATCCAGCGCTTTCATTGTAGAAGGGGTGCCAGTACCAAGGTGAGACTGCTTGACAGCTTCCTGCCTGATCTGTCTTGCAAACACTGGAGTAGCTGGAACAGCTGAGCCCTTGTTCTTGCGACGCTTGGGCAAAGGACCAGGAAGCTTGAACTCAGACTTCACCACCACTGGTTTGATATCCTGCTGGATCTTGCCCATGCTGTAGTAGTTGGAGAGGAAGCCCGAGCTTTCGCTGTCACTACTAAGAATACTGATAGGATCCAAGCTGGAGGACCCTTTGGTGCTGTAGGATTGCTTGGTAGATACTGTAGAAACAGGAGCTGGAGGAGGCATTACAGCTGCTGCAACTGCAGGCCAAGGACGCGCAGCAGTAGCTACTGGAGGAGGACACGCAGCAGCAACACCACTAGCAGCATTAGCAAGCTCAAGCTCAAGGKGGGAGCAAGTATCATCAGTCCTATCAGAAACAGGAGACAGCTTATTCCTGAAATGCCTAATATCCTAGTGGTTGAAGGTAGGAGGTCCTCCAATAGGAAGAGAGGCCCACTGTGGAGGCTGGGCCTGCTGCCAAAGCTGGGCCTGCTGTGGAGGCCGGGCCGGCAGTCGGCTGGGGATGCTACGTAGGAGGTTGCTGCTGCTGCAATTCCATCGGATTAGGGACACTGAATCCCCTAGTTCCTACTACCGGATCCGCTGCTGAATCCCCTACAGTCCTCCCCTTCCTAAGAGCATCAATTGATAGCCCATCCCTGGTCTCGGTCCCCATTGGACCCATTCCTTGCATGGCATGCCTCGTTTCCATGTTCCCCTGAATATCAGGATTGGTGAGCAACCTGTGAGCTGCAAAAGCAAAAGAATTCTGAGCAGCAACCAGATCATCCACAGCAGTATTTGCTTGAGCAGCTGCATCGATCACACCATTCTGCAACTTGCCAGCAACATACTTGGTGAAGAGCTGAGGCAAAGAGGACACGTTGGCTGTTGCTGGAGCTGCAGCAGCCTCCTTCTGTTCCCTGACCTCAACAGCAGCTTTGTGCCTGTTCCCCCTGAGGAACAAAGCATCACAGCTCCTATTGCAGATAGGACACGTGCAAGCTGGCTTTCCATCCACATCTTGCTTCAAGTAATCAGCTCCGGGCTTGCTGCATTCCGGACAGTTGCCCCCATCAGCTTGGTACTCGCAATAGAGCTTGTATGCCCAGCAACCAATCCACTGTCCTTCTGATGGTGGATATCTTGGCTTCTTCCCCCCATTCCACTGGTATTCCTCCACTTTTCCTGATACTTGTCCTAGTTCTCTTTGTTCTTTCGATTCACTTCATCAATTGGTGTAATTGCCATCCAAGCCATACATCCACTCTGAGGGCAAGGAGCCTTCTCCAGCTTGGATGGGTCGAAGGGAATCTTGTTCTGCTTCCTGTCCCCATACTTTTGTTGCTTGATGGAAGATTTCTTGTTCAGCTTTTCAATTGCCTCGTCTTCCTGTTTGTCCACAGCTTGCTTGACATCCTTAGCAATTGACTGGAAGAGGGGAAGAGCTGTTGTATCATTGCTCCTTGATCTGCTAGCGCGCTGGATGGTTGGGATAGGCAAATCCATCCCCTTCCTCATTTCCATTGCCACAAAGATTGAAGCAAGGGTGGAAGAAGCATAGTGAGATCTCCACGCCTTCTCTTGCTTGCTCTTCCCCAAACCAGCAGAGACAATATCAGTATGGAGCATGCGCATCTCTGGTCTCAGTCCCTTGGCTTCATCTCCTGGGAAGAGTGCTTCAACATCCCTTTCCTTGATGGTTTGGATGGCACAAAGATGTTGCTTCTTCTTTGCAAGTTGAAGTGACTTCTTCCTCTCCAGAGCAGTATAGGCTGCTTGATAGAGTGGATTAGTTTGAGTGAGTGGAAGGCTGGGGACAAGGGCCCCTGAGAGCTTCTTCTTGTTGCTCATACTGCCGACGTTGGTCGAAAAAGAAGCAAGTTGTCATAAAATAAGAGTTGCTACTGTAACACACTAAAACAATACTTCTACTGGGTCCTTTTCTACAGTTAAGGGCTTGTTCAATCTTTAATTGAAGAGAGCTATCAATTGATACCATTTACATTAGAAAAGAGTGAGTTGAAGTGCTTGAAATGGAGCAATTCCCATGGTCGGTTGCTTTGAACCGTGTTTTTTTGATAGAATGAAAAGAACAGTTTTAGTGTGCTACTAGAATCAGCGTGCTGGAGGCAGGTAAAGGTCAAGATGCTAGGACACAGTACATTTTTGAATGCGTGATAAAAACCCTTCTATTTTGACCAAAATCTCAAGCGATTTTCTACAGGATTTTCTACACAGCTTTGTACTAGGATCCATCCAAAACAGCTAATCTTGCTTCTTGCTCCCCCCCCCC